AAGAAATTCATTCAAATTTCATTTTCTTCCTGAAACGATTTATGAGATATAAATGTATGTGCCTGGATCTGATGAAAATCTAATTCCTCATTCAGGACAACCCTCTCATGCACAGTCATCCATCTCCCACACTTCTCCATACTTCTGTGCCTTGTCAGAATCCCACTGCCTTTGGAATACATTTCTAAAATTTCCCATTCCCAGATCATAAACACAACCATGTTCTCTTCTAAAGTGTCTTAATACTTGCTGTCTGCTTTGGGGTTGTTTTCCAAGCTCACGTTTCCTCTTGACTTCATTCCAGGGCCAGGTTTGAAAGGGTTAACCCCATCTTGCTTGCTGCTTCCCGCCCAACACTGCCTTTCACGTAACTAGTTTTGTGTAAACAATTGCTGAGCACAAAGCTGCATTAGCAGGTTAACCAAATGAATGTGTACATGAGGTATGAAACAAGGATTTGCTGGAAATCATCTTTGCAAGAAACTTTTATTTCCCCCAAAAAGTGTTCCTTACGACTAATTTTTCATATATTTCTTAAGGTAAGCTTCACTGTTTGATGGTTTTGGTGTTTATTTCCTTTTAGGGGTGTTGTCAACATATGGAGATTTATCAGTGAAACTAATCTCTAATTTGCACTAAGTCTTGCCACAATCCGCACCGTCGTAAAGGGAGTTGTATTTTATGGTGAACCACTTCCTTGCCCGACCTTTAATGCGTGCAATACATATTTCATTAATCTAATTCGTCAGCACTCTTCCACACTCTGCCTGTCCCTAGCAAATTTTGAAACTGACTTGACAATAGCCTCTGCAGCCAGGAGAGCAACGAAGTGACATCGCTCCTCAGAGAGCCCTTCTGTCATTTTTCGTCTGTTGCTGGGATACATTTTGATCACAAGCAATTTGGAAAGGATTGTTTCAGTTTGCCCTTCCAGGTTACAGTCCATCATGGAAGGAAGTCTGGGCAGAACTCAAGCAAGAGCTGAGCCAGGAACCATGGTGGAATGCTGCTTACTGACTCAGTCTGGCCTTCGTTCATGCTCAGACAGTTTTATACAACACAGAACCACTTTCCTAGGAGTGGCATCACCCACAGTGGCATGGACCCTTCCACATCAAGAAAAAAAAATTAGGACAAGCCAGGTATGGTGGTGCACACCTTTAATCCCGGCACTTGGGAGGCAGGCAGGGCTCTGTGAATTTGTAGCCAGCCTGGTTTACAAATGGAGTTCCAGGAGCCAGGGCTACACAGAGAAACCCTGTCTTTGGAGTGGGGGGGGGGGCGGTGGTTAGAACAATTACCCAGAACTATGGCCAGAGGCCAATATGATCTGGAAAATCCCTCAAGTAAGACTTCCTCTTCCCTGGTGATTGCTGCTTGTTGACTGTAAATCTAACGGGAACATCTTCCAACTTGGACTTCCCTTCTTTAAAGTCTTGGGGGACTGTCTGAAGAAGGCAGATAGATCGTAGACATCAAAATGTGTGTTGATTTGACTTATAAGAGCTAGTGGGACAAGCCTAAGCTAAGGCCAAGCTTTCATAGTTAATAAGTGTCATTATTTAGGGCTGGAAGCCCAAACGAAGTCCAATTACAGAGGTAGGGGTTGAAATTTATCAAATCACACAGCATGCATGCAGGAAAGTCTCAGACAATAAAGAGTACCAACTTATATATTTGGGATCATACGAGCATATCAGGAACAGAGAACATCAAAACACTAAAGCAAGGAGAGGGTGCAGCACCTTCACCTGGACCCCATAAAGAGAGGGATACCCAACATAGCATGGTGACAGCCCCGTTGACCTGACATCTGAGCACCCAGGGTGAAAATCAGAGGAGTAACTCCCAAACAACCCCCAAATGTCTCAGGGGACCCAGCATAGTTGAGCTTCCGCTGCTAATGCAGCTTACTTTAACTACCATCAGTCTGCCCACTCGCCATTCATCCATCAGGACCTGGTGCTGTGCCTCACCTCCATGGTCATCACTGTCCTGCATCTCACTAGGCAGCTCAACCTCGAAGATCCTTCTAGTCTGATTCTGTGGCTTGACTCTGCAGTGCATCGCCAACCCATCTCCAACAAGGTTTGTTATCTGATCTGATCTCACGCACTCACCATCCTTGCAAAGGTTCCTTTTGCATCCATTTCAGCTTCTTGCTTCTTCCTTTCAGTTAGGTCTCCTGGAACTCTGCTATAGCCTCTTTAACCCTTTTATAGCTGTGCTGTAACATATACATATATATATATATATATGCATCTTTGTATTGTAGATAGATTTAATGAATGATATGTAGTGTGTGACTGAAAAATTAATATTAGTAAGGAACTGGAGGGGAAGAAAAGCAAGACCGTTAGGTTGGGAGAGTAGGTCTCAGCCCCCAGGCCTGGTCTGAACTTCAAATCCCAGCAGGCCAGGGTACTTAAGTGATTCCCCCCCCCCCAAAAGAAGAACATGTGGTCTCCCTTTCTTCCTCCCAGGGGTCGCATTCCTGTGGCTTTCTGGTTTCCCCCTCGGGGCCACCCGAGAGCGCAGATCTCCCATTAAACCTGGATATTTCTTAATTTGGCTTGTTTTGATTTGGCTTGATTGGGAATTTTTGCATCGTCAGAGAGCTCGCTTAGGAAATATTCCTAACAAAGACTACTTGACAAATTGCAGCCAATAAAATTGAAGCGATTTTTGTTCTTAAACAAAATCTGATGTTGTGAAAAGATGCAAATGTGCCTGTTTCTGGCACAGCTTGCTCATGACACCCCCCCCTAATCAGAAGGCAGAGCTTTAACTCTGGGACAGGCAGGGGTGGCAGTGGGGGTGGACAAGAAAACCCTGTTATCTGTACTAGGATGACACTTAAAACCGTTGGCGGTGATTACATGGTTATAGTCCAGATTTGCCTCCCCTAACTAATTATGACATGTGGCTTTTCTGAACATATTTTCTCATCTGAAAATAGTTTCCTTTTAACTCTTATCAGTTTAACTTATTTCTGTTTTGATGTCCTGACTACTTAAATAAGTATGTTCTCATTATTGTACCTTTTCCTAAAGATATTCTATCTTTTAAAATTAACTTTATTCTAAAGGATTTATCTGTTAGCACTTTGTTCTAACAACAAAAGTTTCAAGTTTATTTAAGAAATTTTTAGCCGGGTAGTAGTGGCATATACCTTTAATCCCAGCACTTGGGAGACAGAGGCAGGTGGATCTGTGTGAGTTCCAGGCCACCCGGGTCTACAAAGTGAGTTCCAGAATAGCCAGAGTTGTTACACAGAGAAACCCTGCCTCGAAAAAGAAAAACAAAATTAAATTATATGTGTGAGTGTGTGCGTGCTCATGTATGTGTGTCTGTGGAAGGGAGCACAGGTATGGTTTAGTGTTCATGTGAAGTCAGAGGACAATAGTCCTGAGTTGGCTTCTCTTCTTCTACCATGTGGATCCAGCCAGTCTGTAGATTCTCAGTCTTGGAACCAAGTCTCTAAAATCCTTCTGCATCAAAAATACCCAACTGTGATTCACTCTAAACTGTAGTATTGAGCTGTGAAAGAAAAATCCCAAAATGCAGCAACAAAATTAATGCTGAATGTTTGTTCCCTCCTACTTTAAGTCTCCCAGTCTCAAAAGACTGGCAGCTACCCAAGTGCTGTCCCCACCCCCTACCCCCTAACTCTCATTCCCCCCACCTCCAACACCCCCACCCCCCAGACAGGATTTCTCTGCAGCTTTGGAGCCTGTCATGAAACCCAAGTCTCGCCTTTTAAGATACAGCGTTGTGTGTTCAATGGATGGAGTACCTAGTATTTGTGATACTCTCTTCCGCCTTTCATAGGACAGCGTTGTTTTTTGTTCGTTATTGTTGTTTTGTTTTGTTTTAAAAGATAAGGACTCATTACTAACCCTGGATGGCTTTGAACTCACAGATCACATCTGCCCCTCTTTAAAGGATTAAAGACAAGCGCCACCACACTGGTTGGGACAACAGCCAAATTTGCAGATTCTAACGACTCAAGCTAGACTTCATAAATGAAAATTTCCGCCTGGGGCATCAGGACCTTATCCCACAACCTTCTGGCTAATTTAGTGTCTGTCTCTGTCTAATAAACTGCAGTATGCAACCTATGTGTTTGCACATTTTTTTAAGTAAAGTTTAATTAGTCACTTCTGCTAGCATTATAAAATAATGCTTCTGCCAGCATTATAATATGCAGATGGAGGAAGGGCGCGCATCACTGCCAGCACTGGCTTGTCAGCCTGACGCAGTCACGCAGAGGTCCACGTCACCGTGCCTGTTCGAAAGGTCTGGAATCACTCTAGATCCCGGCGCCAAAGCCCAATTAGCCGACCCCAAATTCCAGAGGGAGTAATCAATCACGCTGGAATTTCACGCGACCCGCCTCTCTGTCACCATTGGCAATGGCAGGCACCGCCCCAAGCTAGCGTGGCAGGAAGAGGCGGGACTTCCGGATCTCGGAGCCAATGTCCATGCGGGAGTCAGCCAGTTTCGCAGCCCTTTCTATCACGTGATATCAAGGGCCAATGACAGTGTGCAGCCGAGGACTCACGTGCCTCCGTTTCCATTGGCAACCCGCGGCTTCTAAACAACCTACTCTCCTCAGGTCCCGTTTCCTGTGTGATCCCGCCACCGCCATGGTGAGTATCCGCTCCGGAGAGGCCCTGCTAGGTTGGGACCACAAGCGGGGCCGAACTGGCCGGGCCTCGGTGGAGAAGGGAGGCTGGGATCACCTCGGCCAAGCCGCGGTGACGTCATGCTTGGCTTTCGCCGGCCTGGTCCCCTCATACTCAGCCGTCCGAGCAGGCGTACATCTGCCCTTGGGAACCGTTCACGGGCTCGTGTCAACTTTCCGTGCGAGCTTGGTTGAGCCTAACTTTCTGCAGCCCCTTATTTTACAGCGGATTCAATATGGGTGGTATTTCCTTTGTTTGGACTTGTGAAGACCGTTAGGCTAGAATGTAGCTCCGTAGGAGAGTTTGGCTTACCTTGAAACAGGTAAGACTGGGAAGAACGCACCAGTTCATTCAATAGCTTGCCTGTTTAAGTGGTTGTCTGTGGATAAAAGCACGAAAATGAGGTTGAAGGGGGAGTGGCATTATTGAGAGTACTGCTCAAATGGACTGCCGACATAGCCCAGCAGTCAGGACTCCTAGTAACCTTCCCGAGCTTAGAGCTAGTCCTGCTTCTCTAGATTCAACGACGAGAAAATAATGCTAGTGGTGCCAGGAAAAAAAAGTGCTTGAAAGAGACCCTGTACAGCGGAGGTTCCCTCTCGGACCCGGATTAGGCACGAACCACACCCAAACCTGTTTTCACAGAGAGATCATTTATTAAGGGGGGGGGGGGCAAAGTGGCTGCTTTCTGATTCAGGCAGAAAAGGGGAGCTCTGTGTTAGAATGGGCTAGGATGCGGCGGTATATTTTGATTTGGCATGCTAATTAGGTGAAGGGGCTTTTGATTGAACTTTTTTTACACTTTTTAAAATTTATTTATTATGAATGCTGTGCTCTGCCTGCATGGATGTCTGTACGCCTGAAGAGGCCAGCAGATCTCATCATAGGTGGTGGTGAGCCATGTGGTTGCTGGGAACCCAGGATCTCTGGAAGAGCAGTCGGTGCTCTTAACCTCTGAGCCATCTCTCTAGCACCCGATTGCTGGACTTTAATAGTTGACAGTCAGCCTCACGGGGAAGGTGGTGGCTAGCTTTAAGAATGCAAGACAGAGGGGTGGGAAGAAGAGCAAGGCTTGCCAGAGCCATGCTTGCCACACTGAGCTGACCAGGGTCCCTTGAGTACTTGTTTGTGTTCTTACTCTTTTCTGTCAGTTTGACAACTAACACTTGGCAATTGGGCATAGATGGTTCATTAGTAAATTGAAAATTATACAAAGGTTGGTAAAATTACTCATAAAATAATGCACATAAAATAAAAACTTTTTAGCAGTAGGTCCACTCTCCTGTTTGACTGCTAGCCAAAGCTTTCTTTTAACCTCCAGACAATGATGGGGCAGCATTCTGGAGGCAGAGAAAGGCGGATCTCTGAGTTTGAGGCCAGCCTGACTTACAGAGAAAATTCCAGGACAGCCAGTACTACACAAAGAAACCCTCTCAAAAAAATGCTTTAAAGATTTCATAATGCATACAATATATTTAAAATCATATTTACTCCTCCCCATACCTCTCCCAGATTGATCTTGTACTTCCTGTTGTTCCTTAAACCTACTTTGTATATGCTGCTCGTACAGTTATGGGTGTGAGACCATCCACTAGAGCATGATCAACCTACCATGGGCCATACTCTTAAAAGGAACTGACTGTCCATAACTCCTCAGGAGTGAGGTCCCATAGATCCCTCCTGCCTCCATGGTCGGCTGTTGGTTGGCACGACTGTGCAGGCAACCACAGATGTGAGTTCCTAGCACAGCAGTCCGGTCATGCCTAGAAGACACTTTTGATCAGACCCTATGGATCCATCTCTTAGTCCTTTGCTTCCTCTTCAGAGATAGTTTCTGTGCCTTGGGAGAGGGGTGTGGTAGAGCTATCCCAGCTGTGGTAAGCCTACTTATTCTCTGCACTCTGACCAGTTGTGCCTGCTTTAACCACTATCATCATTGTACAAAGAACTTTTTCTGATCAGCTCTGAGAGCTGCATTTACCTATGCAGCATCTTGATTTGGTTATTTTAAGACAGCATCTGGCTTATTACAAAGACTAGTGGCTATTTTCAAACCAAACATACTTTTTTAAGGCTGTATTTGGAAAGGTGAAGTTTCTGTGATAGAAATCTGAAAATCAGTGTACTGAAGAATGCAGATGTTTAAATTCCCTCTCACAGGACAGTCTTCTCTGGTGGAATATCGCTTTAACTATGCAAAGATGTGCTGTATCTGTTTCACCCTGCCTGCCTAAGGCTCCTGATTGGCTTAACAAAAAGCCAGTAGCTAGGCAGTAGAGGGATAGGAGGAGGAATCTAGGCTCAAGAGGAGAGGAGAGAAAGAGGGAGAAAAAGAGGGTGAAAGAAAGGTAGCCACCTGAGGGCAGACAGACAGACATGGAAGAAAGCTGGAAAGTAGGACACACAGAATGAAAGAAAGGTAAAAAGCCCCGAGACAAAACATAGGTGAAGAGAAACATGTTAAATTAGGTTATAAGAGCTAATGAGACAACCATAAGATAAGGCCAAGCATTCATAACTAATATTAAGTCACCTGTCATGATTTGGGAGCTGGTTAGTGATCCAAAAGAAAGCCTGTTACAGTGCTGCTCCATGAGGTCAGGGTTGAGGCCTTATCTTTGTTCTTTCGGCCCTGGGTCATAAAAGTGGCTAGCATGGCTCATCCTAGTCACCCCTTCTGCCAGCTTTCGGAGAAATTGGAAAGGACAGAGGTTTAAGTTATGCCCCATATCTTCAGTCTGACAGTGATCCACAGCCAAGCACTGGGCTAAGCTCCTGGAGTTTAGCTCAAGAGAGGGAGGAAGGATCATATGGGGGGGGGGGTCAAGATCATGATGGGGAAACCTACAGACAGCTGACCTGAGCTAGTGGGAGCTCACAGACTGTGGACTGACAGTTGGGGAACCTGAAATAGGCCCTCTGAATGTGGGTGACAGTTATGTGGCTTGATCTGTCGGGGGTGGCAGGCTGGCATTAGGACCAGGACTTATCTCTGGTGCATGAACTGGCTTTTGAAGCCTGTTCCCTATGGTGGAATGCCTTGCTCAGCCTTGGTACAGGGGAGAGGGACTTGGTCCTACCTCAATTTGATATACCAGACTTTGTTGACTCCCCAAGGGAGGTCTTACCCCTCTGAGGAGTGGAAGGGGAGTGGGATGGGGTGGGAAAGGGGGAGGGAAGGGGAACTGATGGGATTGGTATGAAAAATGAAAAAAAAATATTAAAGAAAAAATACCCATACCTCTTTGGATTACTTCTCTTCCTGAGAAGTGACTCATGTTACTATATTTGACTTCAGGGAAGTTCTAGCAGGGTAGGTTGGGTAGGTAAGGGGAAGAGAAGATGACAACCTGATATACATCTAGTACACAGTATCGAATCATCATTTTTTTTTTTACTTTTTATTTCCTATTTTTTTTTTTTTTTTGTGAGACCAGGTCTTTTTGTGTAGCCTTGGCTGGTCTGAAGCTTACTATGTAGATCAGATTAATCCCAAACTCAGAGATCTGTCTCTGACTCTGAAGTGCTGAGATTAAAGGTGTATGTCACCACACCTGGTCCAACAAAGTCTTGTTTATTTTCATTTTTAGTTTTGTTATGTGACCTTCAAGACTAACAAATTCTCTCTTTTTCAGGCAGAGTTGGGCCTAAATGAGCACCATCAAAATGAGGTTATTAATTACATGCGTTTCGCTCGTTCAAAGAGAGGCTTGAGACTTAAAACAGTAGATTCCTGCTTTCAAGACCTCAAGGAGAGCAGGTATCAAGAGATTTTAAGGCCTTAATTCTCAAAACTGTGGGTCGTATAACCGAATCAATGTGTATTCCTAGAAAATTTGGCAGTAATAAAAGGTTTCTGAAAATGCAGTCACTAAAAACTAGCTCATAATTAAATTCATAATGAATCTGAAGTGTTGTGAAAGCATTTGCCAGTGTTTTGTCACGTGATGACTTCGCTGCAGCCTGGGTTCTGGCCACAGGACAGGCACAAGTGCAAGCTGCCTGGAAGTCTGGCTTAGACTAGTGTGTGCTCTGAATTACAGTGACTTTACTGTACATATAAATATTCTGCTCTTACAGAAACATAATGTTTTTAATATTTTCTTATCATCATTCCTCAGCATGTATCAAACAGTATTTCTGGAGTCTGTTGTGTTAGAATCTTTGATTTTAAGAATTGTTATTTGAGTTGTTGAATTTCATTTAAAAAAAAAAAAGAAAGTGAATTTTGGTTTGGGATAAAGATAGAATTTCCAACCGGTTTTGAAATGGCCGTAAATATATTTTTGCTATTTGGTACTATGTATTTTTGCAGAGCAGCTGTTGAAATAGGAGCGGCAGGGCTGCGTCCCCGGCACCCGGCCGCCCGCATGGCTAGTTTATACCCAGAAATAATTACACGGAAACTGTATTCTTTCAAACACTGCCTGGCCCGGATAGTTCCAGTTCCTTATGGCTAGCTCTTACATATTGTTCTAACCCATTTCTAATATTCTGTGTAGCCCACGAGCTGGCTTACCAGGGAGGATCTTAACCTGCGTCTGTCTGGAGCGGGAGAACCATGGCGACTCCTCACACAGCTTCTTTTTCCCAGCATTCTCCTCTGTCTACTCCGCCTACCTAATTTTCTATCCAATAAAATGGGCCAAGGCAGTTTCTTTATTAATAAGAAAT